ATTTCCGTCGGGGGGAATTCTGGGAGTTGAAGTCCTCAAGTCTTAAAGTCGCCAAGATTTCCGTCGGGGGGAATTCTGGGAGTTGAAGTCCTCAAGTCTTAAACTTGCCAAGATTTCCGTCTGGGGGAATTCTGGGAGTTGAAGTCCACAAGACCTAAATTTTTGCAGTGCAGTTTTAAAACCCAGCCTGCCCCAATGCAGCACAGAGCCACCTTTGGAGGATTGGAGCAAAGAGGCCCGTGAGAACCTCCGGAAACCAAACGAAGAGCCAGGAAGGGACTGCAGGGCGTTGTCGGGCGAAGCTGCCCTTGGCTGGCCTGAGTAGGCTTGACCTTCGCTTGGCTACCTCTCTCCATTTAGGAAGGGTGGGAAAATTCCCAATTGGGAAACAGCTTCAAGCAGGGAGGGAGGAGGGTTTACGGAGAGCGGCCCTCCCTCCCTCCCTCCCTCCCTCCCTCCCTCCCACCCGATGTGGGTGCTCCGATTCGGCTTCTGAGCCAACAGAATGCAAACAGAGGCCAGATAACACAATAATAGAGTTGGGAGGGACCTTGGAGGTCATCTAGTCCAGCCCGCTTCTCGAGCAAGAGGCCCTGTATTTGTTCCAGACAAGGTTTTTTTGTCCAAATCTCTTCTCAAAAATCTTCCAGTGTTGGAGCATCCGCAACTCCTGGAGGCAAGTCCCTTTCCGTGGAAATTTCTCCTTTCGTTCGACGTTGCTTCTCTCCTGGATAAGTTTCCCTCCGTCGGTTCTTGCCTTGTCTTTGGAGAATAGCCTGGACTCCCCTCTTCTTTGGGGGCAGCCCCTCAAATACTGGAACCCTGCTATCATGTCGCCCTCTTCTTTTCATTAAACTAGACGTTATCTAATTTCGCAAACGTTCCTCGTTTGTTTCTAGCCCTTCAGCCTCCTAAATCAGGAATCTCCAACCTTGGCCCCTTTAAGCCTGGTGGACTTCAACTCCCAGAATTCAACTCCCCGCCAGGCGGGGAGTTGAATTCTGGGAGTTGAAGTCCACCAGGCTTAAAGGGGCCAAGGTTGGAGACTCCTGTCCTAAATCATTTTTGCTGCACTCTTTCCAAAACCTCTACGACTTTTTTAAAAATCGCGACCAATATGGGACATCTAATGCAGGTAATCCTCAAGATATGACCACCACGGAGGCCAACATTTATGGGGTGGTGAGAAACGTGGGAAGTGAGTTGGCTCCATTTCACGATGGTCAGTTGTCAATCACCTGACCGGGCGGAGAGCGGGGGGGGGGAGGATGCTGCAAAGGTCTTATGTGTGCCCAAAAATGTCCCCTTTTTTTCAGTGCTGTCGTAACCTTGAGCGTTTGCACTGTTGTAAGTCGAGGACTGCCTGTATGGTGACCAAAATCGGATGGCGTATTCTGTGTGTGGTCTTACCAAGGTGTTTACAAAGACCCCCCCCCCAGGATCCTTCAGAAGCCAGGAAGGGATGAGAGTGGCAATTTAACACCTCCCCGGAGACACCACGAAAGCGGAACAGCAGGGATTTGATCAGACCGAATGGGGAAAATCCTACCAGGATCTTCCTAATATTATTATTATTATTATTTTGGGGGGAAAAGAAGCCAGCCTGGCAGAGAAAGCTTGTGCCCCTCTCCCCCCCTCCCACAATCAAAGATGGTGGGACAGCCAGCCAGAGTTTCAGACTGAATTTGGCGTTTCTGTCCATTTCTAGAGACAGAGATTGTTGTTGGGGTATGTTAAAGCTAGCACTCTTGAAAGGATACACGCCCACCGAGCCACGCCATTCCTGCCAAGCCATGCCCACAGAACCGGTAGTAAAAATTTTTTTTTTGAATCCCACCACTGACCTGAAGACAGGACAAGAAGCAACGGGTGGAAACTAATCGAGGAGAGAAGCAACTTAGAACTAAGCAGAAATTAAATTCCTGACAGTTAAATCAAATAATCAGGGGAACAGAAGTTGCCTCCAGAAATTGTGAATGCCCCAACACTGGAAGTTTTTAAGATGTTGGGCATCCATTTGTCTGAAGTGGTGTAAGGTTTACTGTCTAGGCAGGGGGCTGGACTAAAAGACCTCCAAGGTCCCTTCCCAACTCTGTTATTCTGAATCTATACCTTAAATTCCCTTGCTCTAAGACAGTGGTTCCCAAACTTGGCAACTTTAAGACTTGTGGACTTCAACTCCAGAAATTGTGAATGCCCCAACACTGGAAGTTTTTAAGAAGATGTTGGGCATCTATCTGTCTGAAGTTGTATAAGGTTATTGTCTAGGCAGGGGGCTGGACTAGAAGACCTCCAAGGTCCCTTCCCAACGCTGTTATTCTGAATCTATACCTTAAATTCCCTTGCTCTAAGCCAGTGGTTCCCAAACTTGGCAACTTTAAGACTTGTGGACTTCAACTCCCAGAATTCCCCCAGACGGAAATCTTGGAGACTTTAAGACTTGTGAACTACAACTCCCAGAATTGGCTGGAGAATTCTGGGAGTTGAAGTCCACAAGTCTTAAAGTTGCCAAGTTTGGGAACCACTGCTCTAAATACATACCTATTCCCTGGCTCAGCTGATAAGGAGAAGAACCTTGTGGCTTAATGGTTAAGACATCTGCCTGAAATGCAATACAGCACAGGTTCTAATCCCAGTAAGGGTATGGCTAGCTGGCTGGAGAATTCTGGGAGTTCAAGTCCACAAGTCTTAAAGTTGCCAAGTTTGGGAACCACTGCTCTAAATACATACCTATTCCCTGGCTCAGCTGATAAGGAGAAGAACCTTGTGGCTTAATGGTTAAGACATCTGCCTGAAATGCAATACAGCACAGGTTCTAATCCCAGTAAGGGTATGGCTAGCTGGCTGGAGAATTCTGGGAGTTGAAGTCCACAAGTCTTAAAGTTGCCAAGTTTGGGAACCACTGATTTAATAAGCTCCTCACCTGGCACCGGCTGGAATTCACTGCATAAGTGGGACATGCGCTGTAAAATGCACGGAACTTACAACCATTTTGCCCAGATTGAAACCACAGTCAGATATGAATTAACAGCATTGGAAGAAACGTCCTTCTGGGTTCAGTTCAAAGTGTGTGTCGG